ATGTCCCTTGACAAAGAAAGCTTTAAACCCTTAGATAAGGACTTTCATATGGGCTTGTAACGTGGCTTGGGGTTAGGTTATGATGAAAGAAAGGATAAAGGCTCAAAATCCATATATTCCCCTCACATCTCTCTCCTCACTTCCCCAGTCATTAATGTGGGTTAATAGAAAGAAAATCATTCTAGCTTTTTGTAAATTTGAATGATTACCTTTTTTCGGCCAAAAAAAAGGGGTAAGCAAAAGGGTAATGTTCAACTATTTAGGATAGAGAAATAGGGCCTTTCATCACTAGATTTTCAACTTTCCAAGTCAAGGAGACATTTAATTTGTTAGGCTGCCCTTTCAGGTTTTCAGCCTAACTCCTTTTTTTTTTTTTTTTTTTTTTAGCAATAATTCATTTTGATAGCATCTGCATTCACTGGGTGATGATAATCAGTTCCATCTGGATATCTCAACAAGAGTGCTCCTTCGGAGAAAGCTTCTTTAATAACATAGGGCCCTTCATAATTTGATGCGAATTTGCCCCTAGGGTCCCTTTCATTTGGCAAGATCTTTCTTAAGACGAGATCTCCTTGATGAAATACTCTAGCCTTGACTTTCTTGTTGTAAGCTGCTGCCATTTATTGCTGATAGCATTGACCATGACAAAGAGCTGCTAATCTTTTCTCATCAAGCAAGTTGAGATAATCTATCCTTTTCTGAATCAAGTCTTCTTCCTCAATCCCTGACTTGGATAAAATTCTCATTGAAGGAATTTCTAACTCAATTGGTAGTACTGCCTTCATTCCATATACTAAGGAAAAAAGGGTTGCCCTAGTTGAAGTGTGAACAAAGGTTCTATAAGCATAGAGAGCATATGGCAACATTTCATGCCAATCTTTATGAGTAACTGTCATTTTGGCTAAAATCTTCTTGATATTCTTGTTGGTAGCTTCCACCACACCATTCATCTTTGGTCGATATGTAGAAGAGTTCAAATGCTTGATCTTGAATTGCTTGCATAACGCAGTCATCATGTTCTTGCTCAAATTACTTGCATTACCAGTAATGATGGCCTTTGGTTGCCCATATTTGCAGATGATCACTCTCTTGATGAAGCGAGTGACCACCTTTTTTGTAACACTAGCATAAGACGTTGCTTCTACCCATTTGGTAAAATAATCAATAGCAACCAAGATAAATTGATGACCATTGGAAGCTTTAGGATTAATTGCCCCAATCACATCGATGCCCCACATGGAGAATGACCAAGGACTAGACATATTATGCAGTAATGAAGGTGGAGCATTAATATGATCAGCATAAATCTGATATTTGTGACAAGCTCGTGCATAGTTGATACTATCCTGTTCCATAGTCAACCAATAATACCCAGCTCGGAGAATTTTTCTGGCAAGCACTCTTCCATTTGCATGTGTTCCACATATCCCTTCATGAACCTCAATCATGATTTGTTTTGCTTCTATTTCATCAACACATCTCAACAAGGTCATATCAGCAGAGCGCTTATACAATATATTTCCGCTCAAGAAGTATGAAGCTGCCAATTTTTTTGATTGTCTTCTTGTTCACCTCAGAAGCATGTAGAGGGTATTCCCCATTTTGCAAAAACTGTTAAAAATCATCAAACCATGGTTTGTCATCAACCTTGATTTCCATGCAATGTGCCGATTCTTGACTAATTTCAATCATTAAAGGCTTGATTACATCATCACTTCATGGAAGCTAAAGTTGCCAAAGCATCCACGAATTGGTTCTTGGCACGGGGCATATGGTTTAAAGAGATGAATCTGAATTTCTTGATGAGAGTTTCAAGGTATTGGTGATAAGGAATAAGTTTTGGATCCTTAGTTTGTGAATCACCATTTGTTTGACATATGATTAGTGCTGAATCACCATATATCTCCAAATCTGGACATTCATGTCCAGAGCAGCATGTATTCCTGTAATACAAGCTTCATATTCAGCTATGTTGTTGGTACAAGCAAAATCAAGCTTTATAGCAATAGGAAAATGATCACCCTTTGGGGATCCCAACACAGCTCTAAGGCCACAAACAAACTGCTTAACAGCTCCATCAAAGAAGAGCTTCCAATTATCTGAATCAGATTCTGCCTCCACTGCCAAAATGTCCTCATCAGGAAAATCCCAATCAATAGGCTCATAATCCTCCGCCGCATGCTCGACTAAATGATCTGCAATGGCTTGTCCTTTGATGGCCTTTTGTGTTGTGTAAACAATATCAAATTCAGAAAGCAGCATATGCCAACGAGAGATCTTTCCAGAAAAGGTAGGTTTTTCAAAGATGAATTTTATGGGATCCATTCTTGAAAGTACGTAAGTGGTATTGGTTAACATGTAGTGGCGAAGTTTCTTGGATGTTCAGGCTAAGGGACAGCAAGTTTTTTCTAAAGGTGAGTATTTACTCTCACAATCATTGAACTTCTTGCTCACATAATAGATGACTCTTTCTTTCTTGCCTGAGTCATCATGTTGGACAAGGACGGCTCCCATGGATTCTTCAAGGATGGTGATATACGAGATGAAAGGCCTTTTATCAGTTGGTGGCACAAGGATTGGTGGGATTTTGAGGTATTCTTTAATTTTGTCAAAGGCTTGTTGGCATTGGTCATTCTAGGTATGAGGGTTGTCTTTTCTGAGGAGTTTGAAGATAGGCTCACAAATGGTGGTGAGGTTGGCAATGAAACGGGCAATGTAATTAATTCTTCCCAAGAAACTTCAAACTTCCTTTTGGGTTTTTGGTGGCATTTCATCAATGGCTTTTATTTTGGCTGGATTAATCTCTATTCCTCGGTGGCTCACAATGAAGCCAAGTAGCTTTCTAGAATCCACATCAAAAGTACATTTGGCAGGATTAAGTCTCAGTTGGCATTTTCTAAGGCATTCAAACACCTTGAGATTTTCTGTATGTAGCACCTCTTCTTTGGACATAATCACCATGTCATCAACATATAGCTCAACAATGGTATGCAAAAAGTCATGTAATAAAGTAATCACAAAGCATTGGTATGTTGCCTCGGCATTTTTGAGTCTAAAAGGCATAACTTTGTAGCAGAAGGTACCCCATTGAATGATGAATGTAGCCTTGAGCTTGTCCTCCTCCTTCATTTTTATCTAATTGTACCTAGAGTAGCCATCAATAAAAGAAAATCGAGCATTTTTGGCAGCATTATCTAGTAGAATTTGGATGTGAGGTAATGGGAAATCATCCTTGGGGCTTGCCTTGTTCAAATCTTTATAATCCACACAGACTCTAACTCAGCCATCCTTTTTCATTACAAGAACAATATTGGCCACCCATCCCGAATACATAGCTACTTCAATGAAATTGACATCTAGCAACTTTTGCACTTCTTCTTTGACCTTTAATAGAACCTCTGGCTTCATCCTCCTTAGCTTTTGCTTGACTGGCTTGGCCTTATAATAGAGTGGAATGGCATGAACAGCAATATCAGGATCAAGTCTCAGCATGTCCTTATAGGACCAAGCAAAAACATCTTGAAATTCAGTAGCATGTCCTTATAGGACCAAGCAAAAACATCTTGAAATTCAGCTAAGATCTCTATCAACTCTTTTCTCTCCTCTATGGATAGATGGGCATTGATTTTTATCTCCTTTTTGTCATCTTCAGTACCCAGATTAATGGTTTCTATCTCTTGGTTTGGCTGCAGCTTTGGTTTTCTTCTCTTAGCATTTGAGTTAGTTTATGAGAGGGATAAAAACTTTCATTGTCTCTTCACTATAGGTCTGATCATCAATCTCATATATAAAGTTTGATATGGCATTATTGTTTAAAGAATCGTCATTAGCAGGCTTGAAAATTATGGATGGAAGTAAATAAATGGCCAAATAATAATAAAGCAAAGATAAGGACATGTTACTCGACAACCTCATAAAACATATCATTAAAGAGTGGCTTGTACAATGAAAGTTCAAGTAAAGTTGCATCATGATGATTTTTTACAATGGTAGGATAAGATTACAACATGTTTTATTGAAAAGGAAAGCATGGGAATACTAGAGGCATGATAACATAAATTTCAGAAAATATAAAAGTGCTTGCTGAATCCCTCCCTTTGTTTAGTCACAAGCAGAACTATTAGAGGCCTGACTCTTCTTACTCAGAGATGAAAGCTGCAGGGAGAAGTTTTGTTGTCCAATTAGCCTGAGAGCTTCCATTAACCAGAGAAATTCCCCTATCAAATTCAAGTTCTTCCTCATCTAGAGCATTTATAGTCAAATTTCCCCACAAGTCACATAGTGATTCTTCTTTCACTGTTTCAAGAGGTACAGACTCATGTGATCCCATTGGAGCTTTCACATGATGAATAAGATGGAAGTTGGGGTGCTTCTCCATAAATGCCCTTTCAACAAGCATCCTTCTCCACCTCTCATTAGGATCTGTCATGTTGGCTGGGTCAAAGAGGTTGTTGAAACGAAAACTGTCTTCCTCATCATCAGAACAGACTTCATCAGTAATATCTTCCACAACTACTTCCTCACACTTTGCTTGTTTCGAACATTCCCCAATTTCAAACAATCTATCAGTGAAAATAGTACCTTCTGGATCTACAAATAAAACATCCATATGCTTCACCACATATCCATCAAGAGAAGGGCACAAAATGTCAATAGGTTGTGGAAACATGACTCTGATGTGCAGCACCCACATTGGCTCATCCCTCGTATCTTTCCCCTGAAGTCTAACAAGGCACTTCTCTGCTTTAATAGCACGCATTCTCTGCCAATCTTCCTTCTTCAGCTTGTATCCCAAGCCAAAAGTGCCTCAAGCTTGAATTACTTCAATAGGCTCAAGAATTCTTTGTCCATTAAATCCCAAACCCTCTCCCAACTGGTAATGACATGAAAGCATGATCTCAGCAGCAACCCTGGCAGGTTTAGCCATTTTAGCTCGTTTTCCTCTAAACTTTGGATGTATATAAGAAGCAGCAGCACACTCTATTAAGTGATAAGAGGATTTATAAGTTCTAAGATCAATTCCCAAGTAAGGAATGGTTGTAGCCTTTCGGATGACGTGTTCCTCCTTGCCATTCACCATGACAAGAACACCATTGACAATGTATTTGACTTTTTGATACAAGGTGGGTGGTACTACTTTGGCAACATGTATCCAAGACCTCCTAAGAAGCATATTAAAAGAGGGAGAAATGTCCATAACCAAGAAATCCACATCAAAAGTCATAGGGCCAATTTCTAATGGAAGCTTCAATCTTTCCAACCACATTCCTCTTTGTTCCATCAAAAGCACGAACCACTGTATTGCATTGATTAATGTGAGACTCATCCACTTTTAACTGCTTCAAAATAGTCATAAGAATCACATTCAAAGTTGACCTATTGTCGATCAACACATGAGGAACATTCATCATCTTACATTGGACTGAAATATGGAGAGCTGTAGTATGTCCATTTCCTTCATCGGGAATCTCATCATTTTTGAAATTAATATAATTTGGAGCCAAGATTGCCCCAACCACAGTCCCAAACTTCTAAGTATCAATGTTCTTAGGCACATGGGCCTCTTTTAAAACTTTGAGCAATGTGTCAAGATGAATCTCAGATGACAGCATCAATTCTAAAACAGAAAATTTTGCAGGGGTTGGGGCTATTAAGGCTGTTGGAAATTTTGACTGATGGCTGATGCCCTTTTAGTATCTTGCAAAATGTAAGGCCTTTCCTTAGTGAAGTATTCTTCTGTCATTGGTGCTGTGAATTTCTTTGACTCTGGAGCAAACATAAACTTCAAAGATCCCATTCTCTGTAGCTCCGTAATTTTTCTTTGAAAATCTCCACAATTTTGCAAAGTATGCCCCTTCCTATTGGGGTGATAAAGACACACCAAAGCATCATCAATCGTCATTGGTGGAACATTCGAGCTTATTGATGCAATTGACTGAATAAGATCATACTCTATCAAAATGACAAATAATTCATCAAGAGACCATGAACCGACATTCTCCAAAACGGGTCTATCAACTTCATCAAGGGCAATCATATTCATGATGGGTGCACCATGTGGAGGTAAAGGATTCTAAGTGATGTTTGGAGCAGTCTTAGTTTCATCAAGTTGGAGTCTTCCTTCATCAATGAGATCTTGAATTTTATGTTTCAAAGTTGTAGAATATTCGGTACCATGACTTGTTACATTATGATATTCACATTTAGCTTGTAGATCATACTCGTAAGGATAATGTGGTTGCACAGGGTTCACTTGCACTGTCTGCATCAAAACCACTGCCACTAATTGTTTCAGCACCTCACTATAAGGGATTGGAAGCTTGGTGAACTGTCTTGACCTATTTGTCAAGGGGAATTACTGTCTAACTAGAGCATGAGCATTGAAGTTTGGCCTCTTTTGAGGGTAGGTGGTAGACTTAAAGATTAGAGTCTGCTATAATTGAGGTTGCCGATTGTAAGAACATTTGCCATATTATAGATTGGCTTGTCATGACTAGTGAAAATGTGATTCAAAGCTTCCTCATCTTCTTTCTTCCCTTTAGGTGAGAACCTCTTCAAAGTAGATCCCGAGCTTCCCATCTTAATTTGCTCTAACTGCCTTTAGATAGTTTGAAAGTCCATAATAATACCTGCCTTTAGTCCTTCCTCAATCTGTTCACCCACTATCACTAACTGAGCAAAAGTATATCCAACTCAAGGAGCTAGCCATGCACGGAAGGTCCCAGTAGTTGACTTGATAAAAAGAGAGCACATTTCACTGTCAGTAAGAGGTGGAATGACTTTGGCTGCTTCAGATCTCCACCTTTGAGCAAATTCTTTGAAAGTCTCATTACTCTTCTTGGTAATTTTCTACATGCTATCTCTTGTAGGGGCCAGACTCATATTATACTCATATTGCTTCATGAAAGCTTAAGACACATCTTTGAAAGTGTGAATCTTCTTCTTGTCAAGTGTTGAAAACCAAACACTTGCTGGGCCTGAGAGACTGTCTTGAAAATAATGAATGAGCACCCTTTCATCATTGGCATAAGGTGCCATCTTCCTGGCATACATTTGCAGGTGGGCATAAAGACAACCTGAGCCATCATACTTGTCAAAATCCGGCTGCTTGAACTTGAAATTTGTCTAAATTCCCAGATAGTAGCAAAGATCATCCAAATCAATGGAACCAATTGCTTGCGGCCCTTGCATAGCCTTCAAAGCCTCTTCTAACTGTTGCAGCTTGTGATCAACCTCTCTTGACTTCTCATCGTTTAAAGTTGGCCTTAACATTGCAACCGAGGGGTTGGGTTGAATAATTGGCACTTGTCCCATCAAAGGTGGTACGTTAAGGATAAGAGGTGTGGTTGCGGGCAAGGTAGGGTTGTTCATCTAGAATGGTGGGTATGAGGCTTCAAAGGGCAAAGATGATATTTGTGGAGCATGTGAATATGACTCCCCCATTAGAGGTTGGTTCTCATAAATAGGTGGAAATTGCTATTATGTGACCCTGGGATCCTTAGCACGATTACCTGGTGTGATGGTGGGACAGGTGGAATTGGTATTGTGGGTATTAAGGATACAGGTGAAGGAACCGAACCAGTAATCAAAGTGGACAAAGTGAGACTGATGGTCTGAAGAGTAGCAGCCATAGTTTGCATTGTAGCTTCCAACTTATCAATCCTTTCATCGACGGCTGATTTTTCTAGATTAGTAGCAACATTTTCCTCAGACATTTTAATTACTTTAGATCTGAGCAAATATGGAGAACACCACTTTTTGAAGACCTTTCGCCTTGGAGCTATGATTAGAAGAATTTTTACTTGCCAATAGAAATGTAAAGACAAAAAGGAAAAATTAGAAAACTAAAGAGATTTTGGCTTCTTTTAATTGGACCATTAGTTTCCTTTTCGAAGTTCCATATGGATTCTCACATCAACATTTCCATCTTGTACGAAGATACCCACCCGTTTTACAATGACTTGTGCTAAAACATGGCTTTTCATTACTAAATAACTGCACTTTAAACAAAGTTGGCAAGCAGTACAAAGTTGCATTCAAAGTGCTTACAAGCCTTCATTCTTTTAAAGCTAAAACAAACTCATTATAGAACATAAACCATAATATAGCCTTTTAAGCACATTAGACATGTAAATGATAAAGTCGAAGAATGGTTGGAAAAATCCCCTCTCAATCGGATGGGTCCTTTGAGCAATGTGATGATGAGTCTCGGCCATCTTTCCCTTGAATTGAGTTACCAAGGCGGTTATGTCAATGACAACTTCACGCAAGCCCGTGTTTTCTTCAACAAGAGCTTGGTTCTTTTGCTTCTTAGCTTGGAGTTGATAACACATGTCCTCCATGGCAATCTTGTAAAGATTACGATTGATGGTCATGTCTTGTAGTTGCTCTCCCAATTGCTCATTGGCTTTGCGAAGGTGTTCATTGTCCTTAGTCAATTGGTGCAGATAAGAGATGGTTTCTTCATTGAGTCTTTGAGTACGGGCAGAAAACTCCAACAAAGCCTTGTGTGTAGAAGGTTGTGTCTTGGATGTATGAGAATCCATATTTCTTTTTAGAGGTCACAAATGGTTCAATCAAAAGGGCTTGAGAACTAAACACAAAGTGGCAAAGATAAAGATATTAATAAGAGAATAATCAAAGATCGTAGCTAATGACATGTATAATAAAATGCAAATGTGATATGAGGCTTGAGAATTAAAATTTCTATCCTAATCATAGATTTTACTTTATCGGATATACTTTGGACAAGGAAGAAAGATTGTATTCATTCAAGCAAGTTTTCATTAACAAATCTAAATTTCTGATGTTTGTACAATAGCTCTCAAGTGACCCATCTTTCCCCAAGCTCCTCAAGTTGTGCTTTCCTTCTCCCCTTGCTTTGACTGCTTTGCCATTCGTAATTCCTTTTGTAGAGCATCATAATCAGACAATAAGTTGTTGTAAGCATTCCTCCACTTAATCACTTTTCCTTTCAACTCTTGCTAATTAATCACTTTCTCCACAAGCTCTTTATTCTCCTTTACTCTGGACTTAAGATCCACCTTTGCTTGTAGCAGCTTTTTCCTTTGTTATTCGGCAAACTCCAAGCTCTTCTTTTGCTTCCCACAAATTTCCTTGCTAGCAGCCAAATCCCTTTCTAAAGAGGCAATCTTGTCTTTCAACCCTGCCACTTGTTGATCGGACAACTCCTTCCCTCTTTTAAGCAATTCATGATCAAGAGCTAACTCATCATACTTCTCTAGCAACTGACATCTTTGAGCATGGCTAAGTTCCAACTTAGCGGTTAAGTCCATGATGGTAAACTTTTTCGTATTTGTCACCTCCCATGGCAAAGAAAGCTTAGCTATCCAACTCGTTCTCCATTGCCCATATTGTGGTCTAGTCCCATTCTCTTTCCATATAGGTAGCATCCTACATTGCTCCCACACCTCATGTGCTTCGGATACAATTGCTGGAGAAGACATGTAATCAAAGTGTGACTACAATGCGTCATTAAGATAGGGAATGCTTTGTGCTTTTCCAAACTATCGAAATGCCAATTCCACTGAATATGTAATCCCTCCATGAATACCCAGTAAAGGAATAGAGTGATGTCCTTCGGGTGGAGCAAGATAATGAGTAGCATTCCAAGTCGGGAGAAAAAATCCGACATCATTAACAGTTGCTACTAGAAGTGATTGATGTCAATCCTCCGTCTTTCTATCTTTCACAGGAACGCTGAATAAAGCTTCAAATTGAGGACCCCTCAAGTGACCATGTGCCCATGCAGTGAACAACTCAATGCAACCCGAGAAGCAGCCGAATCTTTTAGCTCAGATTTCTTTCATAGACCACAAAGTTTCAGCTACCACTGTAGAAGCAGGATTAAATGTCGAAGTGTGCAACAATTGCTCAAACAAAGCTACCACCATAGGTGCAATGGTCTTGACATAGATAGGAAAGACTACCATGCCATAAATTCCTAATGCCACAAAGTTAATCCTTTGAGACGATATCATGCCTTCCAATTTCTTTCCCAAAGCCATTAACGTTGCATTCCAATCAAACCCATAAGAATCATCTCTAGTTGTCACCAATAGTCATAAGAATTCAAATGGAAATCCCCACATAGCTTGCAACATTTCTTGAACTTTTTCTAGTGTGAACTTCATATGTTGTGCTTGAGAAGTGAAGGTAGAAGAATCCACTGCAGGACTACACCATAAGAAGTGATGATACTTATCAATGGTGGGCACCAACTCAAAGTGTGGGAACACAAAAGCTTGATATTGAGGGACATGGAATTTCAACATAGCTCATAACAAGTTCCAATTTGGCACCACTGACAATAGATCCCCAATGCACCCAAATCGGACCTCAAAGTCATGCTTCTCTCTAGAGGACAACAAGCCATAAGCCTCTTTCAACAGCTTCAAGTCAAGTTTGGAGGTATTGACTGAAAAGATTGACTCCTTAACCTTCTTAGTAGTAGAATGAGATGTGACATCTTCCCCAAGTCTCTTGCTTTGTCTAGTTGTATCCTCGGTAAAATCCATGTTTAATGCATGATCTTACCTAAACACACAGCTTAAAAGAGTTAAACATAAATCATACCCTCACATGCCATACCTCATTAAGTGTGCAAAAATAAGTTGCCATATGCGCAAACGAAGGTTAGCGAAGTAAAATGCCCTTTTTGTGTCTTAAACACAGGACGCCTAGCCTCACTGGTGGGATGCTAAGGAAAACATGTCCTAGGGTTGGTATCTCTTTAAAGCCAATACATGTTTTCTTGAAGGGCATTAGGCCTTCTCAACCATTTATCCTTAAGGAATCAACGGGAGATATTTCTAAAAGCTAATACATAGAATGATATTACATCATCAAGTATCGTATTAACCAATGGAAACAACCTAACAGGAATCAATCTCACTCCTCAAAGCTAGAAGAATCTAAGCCAGATTCATAAGGATTCTAGACTAGAGGTCGGGTTCACCTCTAACACAGACCTAATGCAAAATGAGAGTGAGTGTGTGCAAGGGGCATGACACTCCAATAACCAGCACAATAGCAACCACAAAAATAGCAACATATATCCCACAGTAAGTAGATAAAGCAAACAAGCAAATAAAACATGTAAAGCACTCAACAAATATATCACCCACAAACAAAACCTCCTTACACAGTGGGAAAAGACTCACCTCGTACTCCCATGCCAAATGCAAAAAGTTAGTACATCCACATACAAACAAGTAGGCATGTAAGCATGATGCATGATTAATAAGCATGTTATATCAATGATGGATGAGCATGTGAAATGATATGATGCATGAACTTGTAAGCAAGGTATGATGCATGTCAAGATGTAGCAAGGTAACTACTCAAAGACAAAAATGATCAAAGCAACCACTAAAACAATGAGCAAATAAGTAACAAGCAACACGCAACAAGCACATACAATAATTAACAAAGACCCACAAAGACTCAACAAACAAAGAAAAATCAAAAGTTGAAAATTCCCCAAAGTTAAAGTATTAACTCGACCCTCGTGAACCCAGAATATGGAAACCAGAAATTTTGGGTTTTGTCCCCAATGGAGTTGCCAATCTGTTTACGACCACTTAAAATTTCAAAATAACATTAAGTTAAGTGTGAAAAATATAAGACAAGACATAAAAAAAAAGGGAGTCGCCATTCGTCCAAATTATAAGGTGGGACAAGTCACCTAAAAAACAGGTTTGCTTAGAGATCGGGGTTTGGGGGTTCGATTAGAAGTGAGGAAGGGCATACGCGTACCTCACAATCTTCTGCTTAAACACGGTTGCATACTTTAAAGTTGAGGTTTTGATTCAACTTATTCATTATGTCTATGTTTGAGTCTTAAAAAAAAATTTATTTATTTTTTTTAAAAAGGGATAAACCAAATTGAAACATTTTTTAATTTTTGGACTGAAATGAACAAAATCAAGAACATGTATGCACAATAAGCACAAATAAACATTAAAGGGACTAATTTGATTAAATTCGAAACATGAAGGACTGACTTGATTAAATTCACAAACATAGAAGACTAATTTGAAAAGATTTGAAACTTTTGGACTAAATTGCTTAATTATAAAAGTTTTGGGAGAAATTTGAAATAAATAAAAGTAATTTTGACTTGGACCAAGATTAAAGAAAAGTAAAGATTTAAGTTAATTAAGCATGATAATTAGTTTAATTAAATGATTAATTTGACATTAATTAAAGTTAATTAAAATTAATTAACTTTTAATTAAAATCATTAAATAAATCTAATAATCTCAAATTAAAGTCAATAAACATGATTAATTTATTTTAATTAAAGTTAATTAATTTCATTAACCAAAATAAATTAAACTGATTAACCTAATTAATTATTAATCATTCTTACACACACACACACATATATATATATATATATATACACGTTTTTTGTTTCGTTTTAGCTTTTTCTTTTTTTTTTTCTCCTTTTTTTTTCCCTTTTTTTTTTATTTACTAGACTGGGTTGGCGGGTTGACCCAATCCAAAAGCATAAACCCACTAACCCAAATGGGCAAAAACAAATCAAACGTAAAACAAAGAAACTTGCAATTAGGGTTCATGTTTGTTCTAAAAAAAGATTTCATCACAAGAATAAATACATTCCGCAGAAAAGAAAAAAAAATGCTTTCACCAAACAGAATAATCTGAACTTTTCTTTTTTTCATTCATTTTCCAGTAAACACATACAAACTTAACATCAAATAAAGAAAGAGAAAAAAAAAATGCAGAAAACATCAACCAAAAATAAGGAAAACACCCACGGCAGAG